GCTCCTCCAGCTGCGGCTGCTGGCCGCGCTGCGGGCCGCCTTGCTGCACTCCTCCGGCCGCGCCCGCCGCCCCCCCATTGGCGGCTGGCTACGCTGTGGGCCGCCCTGCTGCGGCGCCCCCCCCCCCGCTCCTCTGGTCGTGCCACCCCCTCCCCGTGGCTCCTTCCCCTGCACCCCACTAGCTATGCTACTGGGTTCCTTAAGTACCTTAGGATGAATTTCATCAGGCCCCGATTACTTGAAGACATCTAGCTTATCTAAATATTCTTTAACCTGTTCTTTCCCTATTTTGGTTCGTTCTCCCTTGTTGTTAATATTAATTGTTTTGAGTACATGGTCACCACTAACTTTTTTAGAGAAGAGTGAAGCAAAATAGGCATAATTATACCTAAATATTTTCTTAACTTTTATGGCTAGTGCAGTCTCATTGATCAAGCATGACATTGAGAGCTAGGAACTTTCAAATTCTAATTCAGGTCCTGCCACTTTGCGGTCATGAGAATCTCAATTAATCTGTTTCAATTGCAACACCTGTAAAATGGAAATCTCTCCTCTTTCAGAAGGATGTTGTGTGGTCTAATAATTGTCATTAGTGTCTTTATAGCACTTTGCATTTTCAAACTACTTTATAAGTGCAAATACTGCAATTATTGTGGCAATGCAGTACATACTGCTAGTGCACATCTGTACAATCTTAGATGAAACTGAAATTGAATAGATGCCATTAGATGGTCTTATCAAAACCATCAAAATGATAGCTATTATAGACAATATCTGAATATAGGACCTGATTCTCCACTGCCTTGCACCTGATGCAGTCAACTATACCTATAAAAAGCAGTGTAAATGTACCAGAGTTCTGCATTCACACTTGAGGTGGTGTTTTATATCCACTTTGCTCTCAACAGTGCCAAGGAGGAAACTGAAAACACAATGTGCAAGACAGTAAAGACTCAATTCCACAGTGTATATAATATACTTAATTTTATTAATTTAGAATTAAATTTAAAATTTATAGTTTAAAAAAAGCTTGTTGAAGTATTGAAACTTTATAAACTTTCAAAAAAAGAACGTAGAGACCACATACAAGCAGTGATTATTGTACTGATACAAGTACATATGCATCGCATCTGAAGACAGTATTTGTCTTCATCCTATTTGTAACTAAACAGTCTGATATATGCAGTTCAAAATTAAAAAAGGAAAATACCAAAGGGACACTTAAATAGTGCTCTTCTTAACAAGAGGTCTCTGTCTGGCAGATATGAAATCTGTCTACTTTTAATGTCTCTCCATTTTATAGAGAGACTATTTCTGTGGCCCCTGATTCATAACAGAACTAGAAAGTGAGGAACAAATCTGAAGCAGAAGGGATTTTTGAATGCAAGAAAAAGAAAAAAAAGATGCTTATCATTTTCATTATACCCACATGCTTTTTTTCCTGAACACATGCACTTCATTTTTCAACTAAAATAGGCATAATATTGTAGTACTGAAATAAAAGAACAAAAGAATGTAGCTATTTAGGGTAATATGTCAGCTTCCTGGCTACAGTTCTGCACTTCAGAAAGTGCTTTTAGTAAGGATTTCTCAGTATATTTCTTAGTAAACCTGACAAGACTCTTTCAGAAAAGAAGTGTGTTTTAAGAAGAAAGTGTAGCTAGAGCTCTGATTCTCATTTATTAAATAAATGAGGTCCAAGGTAAACTTATAGACCAATATTTCGCCTCCCCTTGCAAAAAAAAAATACTTTAATATATTGCACCTCAGAATTTGTTTTTATTCGGGACAGCCCAACTTTCTGGTTGGAGAGTACACCCGTCCGGTCTGCTGACAAAAAAAGGAGATGGATTTTTAATCAAACTACAAAGAGTCCTTTGAGACTATTGGGTTGGCGTGTTTTTAAAAAGGCCTGCTTCCAATGGTTTGACTTAGAGGTTGAGTAGGATACAGAAGAGAATAGAGCTTTAGGAAACTCCATGTATACTAGATCTAAGTACAGAGAGTCAAATAAAATTAGAATGGATGTTTGTTTACTGTCTATGTCCAACAGACGTCATTAAATAGTGTGTCCTGTGCTGTCTCTGTGCCTCATTTAAACCTAAAACTCATCGGGGAATGCTGACAGGTGTCAGGTGCACTTGGAGATAGTGATTTGCTAACTTCTCAGTCATCTTGCTTAGAAACAGAAGATTAGACACTGGGTAGTACTGGAGAGATAGGTTGCATCAAGAGTTGGTTTCATTAGTACCAAGCTTGAGTAAATGTGGGTGACAGACCACTCTCTTTCAACAACACTGACCATAGGGTCAACGAACCTGATATTAATATCAACCGGTTAGCAGCATCCCAGGGGCTCTTAGCTATCCTTTAATAGCCAGGGCCATTATGTGCCAGAGTTGTCAGTGGAGAATCAGATTTCCTGTGCTGTACTGTGCCATGTTCCGAGAAAGGGTGCTGCATGCCATCTGAATGTGATTGTTGAAAGCTTGAGACTAGAGTAGCCATCTCAGACATGCATGATTATTTCTGTAAAAATAGGCCAAGATAGTTCCACAGAGAAGGCATAGAAATTTAAAGTATTGGTTGTGCCTTTCACTCTCCATATCTGTATTTTCTGCTCTTGGTGTTGAGTATCTATCCTTCATGTTTTTTCTGTGACAGGTCATCTGAGAAGCTCTATAATCTGTGGGACAATGAGAGTGGGAAGGGAGTGTTTCTACCTAGCATGCCTTTAGATCTGTGTGACTTAACTTCTTGGCTTAGTAGGATTTTCCATTAGAAGTTTTAAGAAGGTAGGTGGGAACACACATTCTATGGTGGGCAATCAAAATTGGGCCTTTTGCTTGCTAAGAAGTGGGAAAGAGCTCAGATATCAGCCAAGAGGAAATGATTGTCTGATCAGGATGAGGATGCAATGCTCTGCACATCAACTGATGCCTTCTTTGAAAGCAAGAGAAAAGACAGTCATGTGGTTAACAGACTGACTGGCAGCTCAGGCGATCTAGGTTCCCTGCCTCTGTAAACAGATTTCCTACCTGGGCTTTGAACCATCTCTCTGTGCCTAAGTTCACCATTTGTAAACATGGAATACTGCCCTAACTCATAGGGATGTCGTGAGGGTAGATCCACAAAAGCCTGGAAAATGCTCTAATACTATGATGATGAAGGCATAGAA